GCTTCTGTTGTGGCAAAAAAAGTGCATCAACGCAACAGATGCCAAAACGCATCAAGTGCATTCTATACTATATTCACACTAACCTACATGGGACATCGCCGTGTTTCACCATGCGTACATCTGTCCAGGGCTGGGACATGGGATGGGCTGGAGGGGCGGCTATGCTGTGGTATCTTGTGAGGAGGGGGCGCTGTGTGGAGACTTCCTACATACAAGTTTGCAGGAGTACGGGAAGAGGGGATATTTTTGTTTGGGGAGAATTTTGGCTTGCAAAGGGAATTTATGCTTGGGGTATGTGTGCAGATTAGTGCTCTCATTTTTTGGGGAGAAGCGAGGGGATTTTTGCTGACACATGCTCATACATTTTAGGGAGGATAGGGGCGCTGTTTGGCATCTTTGCCCTGGGCACTAGATGACCTTGTCCCAGCACTGCAGCTGTCACCATGAGCTCCATCAGACAGCCACGTGATACACAGTTCAGCATGTCTCCCCACACTGCTTCATTTTCCACATCAATCGTGTCTTCACACAGCAACATGGTGACATACAATGTTTTTGAACAGAATTATGGACTTTTTTTTAAAAGCAAAAAGCAGCGTTTTTGCTACAATTGAGTTCAATGGAGAAGCTGCTGAAATACATGATAGTGCATTTGTGCTGCGTTTTGCGTTTCACATTTTTATTCTGCCCAGCAACAAAAAAAATTCCACTTTAAACAAAAAAAAAAAAGCTGAAGGAAATGCGGTAAAAACATGTCGAAAACACATGTAGAAAAATGCAAAACTGCAAAAGCACTGGAGAAAGCATCAAATGCATATATGTGAACCTAGCTTAGGTCCTCTTCAGCTCTTTTATTTCACTCAGTTCACACACATAAAAAAGAGAAATACATAGTGTCTTATACGGAATAACTCACACATATAATATCCCACATGCGTTTATAATCATGCATTATGGGATGATGATATTAAGTCCTTTTCCCTCTTTTAGGTGTCCCCTCACCTGGGTACTGTGTGTGATAATCCTTTTAGTTAAAAGACAGCTGTATTCATCCCTTGTATGCTCTGTGAATGTCTCCTCCACTCATTCACATGCAGAGAGGATGAATAAAGGGCAATCGTGCTTTATCCTTTATACCACTTCATGTCTCAGCCAAATAAAAAGTCACATTAGGTACTATATGACCAAAAAGCGCCAATGTCCGATTTCTCACAGTCCAGTATATTTACATATCAAACACTCACCTGAACACACTTCTCCAGCGTCATCCGATTAGCTCCGGCTACTTGGCGATCTGAGAAATGAAGTTGCGTAAAGGATAAACCACTGTTGCCCTTTATTCATCCTCTCTGCATGTGGAGGAGACATTCAGAGAGCATACAAGGGATGCATACAGCTGTCTTAACTAAAAGGATTATCACACACAGTACCCAGGTGAGGGGACACCCAAAGGCTAGGTTCATACCTATGCAGGTTGCGTTTGAGCCGTTTCTGCATTGCGTTTTGCACTTACATTTTTAATGCATTTTGCTTTTTCTTGTTGCTAGGCAGATTTAAAACACAAAACGCATCTAAAATGCCACAAAAACGCAATACATGCTTTTCTGCAGCGTTTCCATTGCAGTCTATAGAAACAGGGACAAAAAAGTTCCTGACCCTTTACAAAACACACACCATGTGAAAACGCACAGGTGTGAAGATGTCCCATAGGAAATCATGTTAAATGGACTGTACTGCGTTTCTGAAAAACACTGCAGAAAACGCTTAGGTGTGAACCTAGGGAAAACGAGTTAACATCATCATCATCCCTTAATGCATGATTATAAACACATGCGGCTATTAAATTTGGGAGTAGCGGTCTGCAGTTTTATACAAGGTGGTTTCAAAATGGTTCGAGACTAGTTTCGTAACACGCCACTTCCTAAGTCAGTGTTCCAAAAGACATCATCCTGCGTACATTGGGAGCTGTGCAACTGGTGCTATTCTGACCATGTGGATTACCACGTCTGGTATTTCATCATGGACAGCAAGATAGAACAAAGAGCAAACATGAAATTCTGTGTGAAACTGCAAATCTGCCACAGAGACGTTTGACATGATTCGGCAAATTTACAGTGATGCTGCAATGAATTGTTCGCGTAGAGTTGCCACCTTGTCCCCGTAAAACTGAACTCATAATAATTACACGGGTTCTGAGGGTAATTTAATGCAGATAAGGCACTAAATGAGTTTAATTACTACCCTAATCAGCCACAGAACCTGTGTATTTAATGTGTTTGGGTGTAAAGGGATGAGGTGACAACCCTAGGTTCCGGGTGTTTTGAGTGGCACACGGGCTTCAAACTCTTCAATAGTGGAAGTACATCACTGGAAGACAATGAGAGATCAGGAAGACCTTTAATGAGCTCAACTCCCGATCTGGCTCAAAGGTCGCCGTTTTTGACAACATTGCGGAGATCCAGCGCAGAGCGATTTGCCCAGTTGCATGCAGAATTTTACATTTGTCCTTTGCTCTAACTTGCTGTCCATGATGAAATACCAGACGCGGTAACACACATGGTCAGAATAGCACCAGTTGCGCAGCTCCCGATGTACACAGTAATGCGAATTTTTTTTTTTTTTCTGTGTGCTAAGAAAGCTTCTGTAGGTGGGGGCATTACTCTAATTAGGGGTGGGGCATTCATACATTATGGGCATGGTTGTGGTAACTGCAGCATGCAAAGCACGCGATGGCGAAAAGTGGGTGTGGTATAAAAGACACTAAATATTGGGTGTGGCTTAGAGGGGGTGTGGTTAACTAGAGTTCGAGAGGATTTACATAGAGCAGAATGTGGTAATGTTCAATAGGGAATGTACAGTGCAGAATGAGGGAGGATAGGGACTGTGTGTGTGCGCAGGATGGAAATGACAGGATGGAGGGTGTGTGTGTGCAGGATGGACATGACTGGATGGAGGTGACTGTGTGTGTATTGGTGGACATGACTGAATGGAGGTGACTGTGTGTGTGTAGGATGGACATGACTGGATGGAGGTGACTGTGTGTGTGTGTGTAAGATGGACATGATTGTGTTAAAGATGGAGATGACAGGGAGGGAGGTGTTTGTGTGTTCAGGATGAAGATATCGTATGTACTTCCCAGCGCCTCAGGATATGCACAGCCAAAAGGGAAGCCAAGGGTATCAGGACAGCGACAACCAAAGGAAATGTTTCAGGGGTGCAGCCCTCCTCAGACTGGGAAATCAGCCACTGGATAGAGAGAAAACAGGTGGCGCACACACCTAGTGCATTATCCAAGGTTTAGTGTAGGAGTGAAAGAATAATAAAAACACTCACAGACGAAGCATGTATCTAAAAAGCATAGAAAAATGACAATGGCCACAACAGCAGGCAAGGTGTTCTCACTGTCAGTGCAGTCAAATTTCTGACGCGTTTCGGGGACAAATCCCTTTCCTCAGAGCTGATGACCAGCCTCTTGATGCAGATGTATGATGAATGGAAAGTAGGAGCCTTGCTGTTGATGCCTGTGTGTGTTCAGGATAGAGATGACTGGATGGAGGGTGTGTGTGCACGGTGGAGCTGACTGTGTGTGTGCAGCATGGAGATGACAGGATGGAGGTGTGTGTGCACTATGGAGCTGTGTGTGCGCGATAGAGCTGACTGTGTGTGTGCAGGATGGAGATAACGGTGTGTGTTCAGAATGAAGATGACTGGATGGAGATGACTGTGTGTGTGCAGGATGGAGACAACAGGATGGAGCTGTATGTGTGTGTGCAGGATGGAGATAACGGTGTGTGTTCAGAATGAAGATGACTGGATGGAGCAGCATGTGTGCAAGATGGAGGTGACTGTGTGTGTGCGGGATGGAGATGACTTTGTGCAAGCGGGATGGAGATGACTGTGCGTGTGCAGGATGGAGGTGTGTGTGTGCAGGATGGAGATGACCGGAAGGAGCTGTGTGCATTTCCGTGCAGGGGCGAGCGAGCACATGTCAATCACCGGGTCCCGGCTGGTGATTATTCGCCGGCGCCCGGTGATTTTCAAGCATTTCCAACAGGGAGGAGAACTGTTTGTGTAAACAAAACAGTTCTCCTCCCTATCAGCTCCTGCACACTGCTTTGGTGGCTGTGCACAGCACAGACATCCAAACCAGTGTGCTTATAGTGAAGCACACACACAGAGCTTATAGTAAAACAGCACACAGTTAACCGTTTGATCGCTCCTCATGTTAACCCCTTCCTGCCCAGTGTCATTAGTACAGTGTCAGTGCTTTTTTTTTTTTAGCACTGATCACTGTATTTGTTTCACTGGGGATGTCAGTGACACCAAGTCAGTTCCCCCCAGTATCAGAATGCCCGCCGCAGTCCCGCTATAAGTCATTCACTGCAGTCCCGCCATAACTAGTAAAAATAAAGAATTAAAACAAAAATATCCCAGTATCTATACCGCCATTTGTAAATTGTAAAAGTTTCATGCAAACATTAATTTAATTTACATGTATTGGGATTTTTTGTTAGCAAAAACATATAGCAGAATACATTTTGCCCAAATTTATGCTGAAATTTTATTTTTTAATTTTTTTTATTGGACATGTTTTATAGCAAAAAGTAAAAAAATTTTTTTTTCTCAAAATTGTAGGTCTTTTTTTTGTTTATAGTACAAAAAATAAAAAACGCACAGGCCATCAAATACCATCGAAATAAAGCTCTTTTTGTGGGAAAAAAGGACGCAAATTTCATTTGGGTGCAGCACTGTATGACTGCGCAATTGTCAGTTAAAGTAACGCAGCGCCGTAACGCCTGGCCAGGAAGGGGGGTAAAGCCTCTGGAGGGCAAGGGGCTAAAACAATATGGAATGAATTGTTATCATTTATAAACTTGTATAAAATGATGACGCAGATGTCAGATTTAGGGCTCATGTACATGAGCGTTTGGAAAACTTTTCTGAATGATGGAAACTGACTGCTAGAAAACATAGGTTAAAAAACATCAGTTTAGCCACGTTTGCATAGTGCGTTTATGCGCGTTTGTGTTTAGAAACATTTTTAAAACCTCAGGAGACCCTCCCGAATGCCCAGAATGCACTGAAATACTGTAAAAAAGATTAACTATTTCAGACATTTTGAGAGGAATAGAGAGAGCAGAAGCAGAGAGAGCAGTACTGTATGTGTTGAGATGACCTGTCTTTTCTGGTTGTATTCACTATGGATCCCATCATGAGCAGAATGCGGCATGTTCTACCATTTTTTACTTCACGCGAAACCTGCAACTGACTGCGCTGGTGTACCGGATCCATTTGAATGCATAGAAAACGCTTTGCATGCATTTCTGATGAAAAAAGGCTCTGGACAGCATCTGGACATGGAACAGTTAAAAAACACTTCTAAAGAAGGCTCCATGTACACTGCAGCTGATAAACTCACGTTCAGGAGATTTTCTGCATTTTTTTTCATCAGCCCCTGAGCTCTGCCTGTTTTCCTATGTGTCCATGTACACATCTTTGTTTACAGTCATTTACAGGCGGTTGAGTTTACAGTCGTTTTTTTTTTGAACACACCAAACTTGCGTTCAGGAGTAGATTTTATCAGCGTTTCAAATGCCAAATGCTTGTAAACGTGTGTAAACGCGGCTAACCACGTTTATAAGCATTTGCGTTTGGAAACTTTTTTTTAACTCTTCCATTCCAGATGCTGTCGAGAGCCTTTTTTTCATCATGAAAAATGCATGCAAAGCTTTTTCCTGGTACTTAAATGGACCTGGTACACCATACGTTGAGGTTTTGCATGAAAGAAAATATGTTAGACACTGCTGCAATAATTTCTGCACAGAAATGAGTCGGAACACACCCAAACACCACAAAAAAAAAAAAAAAAGGCTGCTAATCTCAACACATACTGCTATCTCTGCTTCTGCTTTCTATTTCTCTCAAAATGTCTGAAATAGTTATTTTTTTAATGTTTTTCAGTGCATTCTGGGCATTTTGGAAGGTCTCCTGAGGTTATCTTTAAAAAATGCTTCTAAACGCAAATGCTCATAAACGCGGTATGCAAACGCGGCTAAACAGACGTTTTTTAACCTCGTTTTCCAGCAGTCAGTTTCCATTGTTCAGAAACTCCTGACTGCTGGAAAACGTAGGTTAAAAAACATCTGTTTAGCCGCGTTTGCAAACCGTGTTTATGTGTGTTTATGCACGTTTGTGAGCGTTTGTGTTTAAAAGCGTTTTTTAAAGATAACCTCAGGAGACCTTCCAAAATGCCCAGAATGCACTGAAAAACAGTAAAAAATGAACTATTTCAGACATTTTGAAAGAAATAGAGAGAGAGAGCAGAAGCAGAGAGAACAGTATTTGTTGAGATTAGCTATCTTTTTTTTAAGTTGTGGTGTTTGGATGTGTTCCAGCTCATTTCTGTGCAGAAATGATTGCAGCAGTGTCTAGCATACTTTCTTTCATGCGAAACCTCAAAGTATGGTGTACCAGGTCCATTTAAGTACCGGAAAAACACTTTGCATGCATTTTTCATGATGAAAAAAGGCTCTGGACAGCATCTAGAAATGGAAGAGTTAAAAAATGTTTCCAAACGCTTATAAACGCGGTTAGCCGTGTTTAAAAAAAAACCGTTTGAAACGCTGATAAAATCTACTTCTGAACGCAAGTTTGGTGCTTTCCAAAAAATGACTGTAAACTCATCTGCCTGTAATCGACTGTAAACGACGATGTGTACATAGGCACATAGGAAAAGATTATGGAGAGTTCAGGGCTGCGGAAAAAATGCTGAACAGCTCCTGAATGTGCGTTTATCAGCTGCAGTGTACATGGAGCCTTACAGTGCCATAATATAGAACACATGAGCTGATTTATCCAGGATTACATTGTGCTTCATAGTGAGAGCTGCATGGCTGCACTCATGTCCTAGCCACAGACTTGTATCGAGACCCCCTGTACAGCCCAGCTCATGCCGTACCCCCTGCACAACATAGAACAGGGGGGGAGGCGCATCCAAAAGCAATTAACGTCTGGGGGGGGAGGGGGGAATGTATGGGATGTGCATTGTTATGTTTCTTTTTTATGTCCAATAACTATATCCTGTCCATTAGCCATTGAGGTGCTGTATCCTTTCCTTCTGGGGGGGGGGGGGTTCTTTGGGGGGGTGGGGGGAGGGAATGTATGGGATGTGCATTGTTATGTTTGTTTTTTACGTCCAATAACTATATCCTGTCCACTAGCCATTGAGGTGCTGTATCCTTTCCTTCTGGGGGGGGGGGGGGGGGGGGGGGTTGTATGTAGCCACAGACTGCAGCAATTGCCATCTGTATACATATAATACATATATGCAGCGCTACATATATGTATTACATGTTCTATCTGAGGATTAAGGGGTTCATCCTTTTATGCTAGCAGCTGTTCTTGTTCCTGTGCGCTCACTCTTATTCCTAGTTTTTTATATGCCATCTGTATACAGCATAGACTGAACACTCCTCCTTCATTCCACATGCATGCCTGGCTACATCAGTGTGAAGGATCATGGGAAATGTAGTCTCGTATAACAGGAAGCAAGACTCTGCTGCTGGTGATCATGTGGTCAGAGACAAAACCAATCCTTTCCTACAGGACAGAGCATTTCATGGAGCATGTCCCTGCTGCCTGGTAGATATGGACATCCAAGGTATAATACAGGCTTTGGATGGGGACACTGACAGTGCGTTTACATAGGTCATCTCTAGTGTATGCATGGAAGAGAGATGACAGCTTCCTGCTAACGAGATGAGAATATATTTCAGCACAGGGACAATATATGCCGTATACATAATCATTGTGTAATGTTTATTACATCCTTCTTGGACCATGTGACTCTTAACGTCAGTCTGTGTCATTACAGGATAACCTGACAACAGCTGATTATATGTTGGAATACTAAGAGGACTCATTGCATGAGATGCAGATTCTGCCAGCTCTGTACTGTCATCTCTTCAGGTGAGTACACTGGAAAGAAAGAGGCTACTACTGCTTGATAAAGGAAGGACAGTACAGGTAAATTGTAACTTTTTATAATTCCCAGGAGATGTTGGAGATCCTGTAGATTCTATATGTAAAATATTTGGAAGGGTAGTTTGTTCAACAGGGGAATCCATATAATTGATTCAATATACAGGGGGCAGCACAGCGGCTAAATGATTAGCACTTCCACCTGGCAGTATTAGGGTCGTTGGTTCGAATCCTAACCATGGCACCACCTGCCTGGAGTTTGTATGTTCTCCCTTTGCCTGTGTGGGTTTCCTCCAGGTACTCCGGTTTTTCCTCCTCCCACACTCCAAAGACATGCTGGTAGGTTAATTGGCTCCTGTCTAAATTGCCCCTAGTATGTGTATGTATGAATGTGAGTTAGGGACCTTAGACTGTACACCCCTTGAGGGTCAGGGACTGATGTAATTGTACAATATATATGTAAAGCGCTGTGTAAATTGACGGCGCTATATATGTACCTGTAACAAATACACGTAGCATGCTAAAGAACTGGTGTTTGAATTTGTGTTCCAGAGTCTTTTCCTCCCTGCACTCCCCAAGAGTCCTAAAACTTCTCTTTTTATTTTGAGGAAATAAGATAGGCTATTGCTATGGTATATCACATCCAGTCCACAGAGATCTATGCTGGCAGGTGATATTCATATACCATGGCATTGTAGCCTTGCTATAGCGCCCTGCTTCCTCAGAACATACCGAATTATGGACATTCAGTTACATAGCACAACCAGCTGGAAAAGTGAGTAGGGTGTATATCTGAATCCCTCCATTCAGTATGCGCAGATCCTACAGGGTTGTACAGTAAGCCCATATGGATCATACGGCCCAACAACAACAAAAAAATCTGTTTTCTTGGCTTCTTGCATTTTAGAGCTGTTTTAGGGCTCATGTACACGGGGCATTTGAAACCCTTTTCTGACCTCTGGAAACTGACTGCTAGAAAACATAGGCTAAAAACTACAGTTTAGCTGCATTTACCTACTGCGTTTATGCGCATTTAGCGCCGCGTTTGTGTTTAGAAGCATTTTTAAAAGAGAACATCGGGAGACCCAATTGCCCAGAATGCACTGAAAAATAGTAAATAACTATTTCAGACATTTTGTGAGAAATAGAGAGAGCAGAAGCAGAGAGAGCAGTATTTGTTGAGATTACCTGCCTTTTCTGGTTGTATTCACTATGGATCCCATGATGAGCATAATGCATAATTTTTGCCTTCATGCAAAACCTGGAATTGACTGCACGGGTGTACTAGGTCCCTTTGAATACATGGAAAACGCTGTGCATGCATTTTTGATGAAGAAAAAAGGCTCTGGACAGCATCTGGATATGGACCAGCCCAAAAATGTGTCTAAACGCAAACTTGCATAAACGCGGTTACAAGTGTTTATACGCGTTTGAAATGCCAGTAAAATCTACTCCTGAACACGATTTTTGTACTTTCAAAAAAATGCCTGTAACCTCAACTGCCTGTAAACTGCTGTAAACGACTGTGTACATGGACACATAGGAAACCATAAAGGAGAGTTCAGGGGTTGCTGAAAAAAACCGCCCAACTGCTCCTAAACTTCAGTTAAGCAGCTGCAGTGTACATGAGCCCTTAGGGTTATTTGGGGTGCTGATTCTGAAAATCGCATTGGCTAGAATGCATCAGCTTTAGTTTCTTAGATATGGTCAAATTTTATAATATTTTTTTTAGTCAGTGTTTGAAAGATCTTGCTTCTCAACTTCTGTTCTTTTGTTACCTAGTTTGTGTTTTTGCATACAAGTTAGCAGATATAGTGAGACTGTTTACATACATCCAACTGCAATTTGACATCAGAAACACTGGATTCTATGGTGTAAGTTACAAACTGTATTATGATCGTAATATAAGAAGGTGTATGTACATTACCACTCATTGTTCCATTTTTGCAGATCGAGAACCATAGAGATTATGGCTACTTTTTTATGTGGTTTTTTTTGTGTCTTTCATGCTACAAGGAGATTAAATAAAACACTTTCCATGCTACATGCACAGGAAAAAAAGTTTGTTAGGCCTCTTTCACACAGGCAATCTAATCAGTTTGTTAGGCCTCTTTCACACAGGCAATCCAATCAGCTCCTCCTTTCACTTTTTCAGGTGGACCTGATCATAAGGGCTGTGCGTTTCAATGGACAGGCAGGTGTAAATGGACTGGTTTCCATTTACACCTGCCTAGCCCGGGTCCAATACAGTATGCAAAAAAAAAAAAAAAAACCAGAAGGGAATCCATCCTCTTCTGTTATGGCAGATCAGATTGGAGGGTAGTTGGGTAAAAACATAAAACCGAGTCTGCTTACTCCTGGATGCTCATAGAGCAGAGCAGGCTCTTTAAGTGTCTGACCAGACACGGATGTGTCATTTTCCTGCTCTGCTCCAATCAGCACGGGATCTGTGAGTTGATCCCCTGCTGATCAGAAGGGAATCCACCCCATGTGAAAGGGGCCTTAGCAAAACATTTATATTAAAATTAAGTTGGGTTTGCCTTGACCCATATTGATACTTTTTCAAATTTGCATTCACTTACATTTGACACTCGTACAGTAAATGCAAATTTCATCTGGAAAATGTGAAGTAATTCTTGTAACCAGGGCATTAATGTGTAGATTACTTAATTGATCTTTAAGGTGCGTGTGTATAAACATATAGTTTCTTCTACACTTTTTTTAATTTTTTTTTTTTTTCCTTGATGGGTGATCTATAGATGTTGATCTAACATGGGCTGCAATGTTAAAGGATAAGTTCACCTTTCGCAACATGTTACAAGTTACACCCATATTGAAGGGTGTAACATGTTACAATTGTACCAGCCCCTGCACCCCCTGGATCTCCCATTGTGACAGCTAGCAGGGGATCTTCTCCCCCCTGCTAGCTGTCACAACCTGAAAAAAAAAAAATGCAGCCGGACAGGAGCGCGTGGGTGTGCTTAGCACTCCTGTGCCTACATCCTTCTAGTCCTATCTGCAAGATCTGAGACAATGCTCTCTATGACTGCTAGTTTCACAAGATTTGGAGTGAGATTTTGTGATCTCACTACTGTACTGCTCATTATTCTCCTCTGCCACGAGGAAGCAAAGTCTTTACTGTAATGGCTGCTTCCATAAAGAGACACCGGTCAGAAAAAACACATGGAAAGTCCGCAATGAGCCCTTTGCCAGTCCACCTGGAGACTGCTACGTAGAGGGTGCCTGGCCCATAACCTCCCACTATTTTTAGTTTTTAAACCTTTGCCACTGCTGCACCCCTACCCTCACTGCAGCTGCAAGTCTCCACCCCCATCAGTGGCTTCTTTCCCTGCAGGTTCCATCCCGGCCACCGGTTAGACTTTTCTCCTACACAGGCTTACAAGGGGAAAAAGATGCAGCAAAGCAACACACCTGAGGGAGCTAATGGAGGTTAGGGGCAAGATTAAAATACAATGTAGCAGCACAGGTTACAAAATTATATATTGAAGAAAAATAATAAAACTGCTTATGAAGTTTGTGAATATTAAATATATTTGAACCAGACCCTCACGGACATTTATAATTGCTCCTGTCCTGGGTAGTGTAAAATTTTGCATACCCTGAACACTTACTGTACGTTCCCTATATCGTACCATGTAATTCTGTATACTGTGCTGTATGTTCCCTATTTTACACCGCGACATTCTGAACGCTACACTGTACTGTGCTATACCACAGTACGTCATTCTGCATGTGCATTGTATGATCTCTGTTCCACACCATGTCATTTTACACGCTGCAGTGTACATTCACTACTCTACACCATGTCATTCTGCATGCTGTCCTGTACGTTCCCTTTTCCACATCACGTCATTGTGAATGCTGGACTGTGCTGGGTTGTACACTCCTTATACAACACTGTGTCATTCTGTATGCTGCGCTGTACATTCCCATTTCCAGTATGCCTTTATTATCTCCGCTATGTGTGCCACGGAGAAACATGGAGACAATAAAGGCATGCTGAAAAAGGACCCTCGAATGTAGTGTGCTGAATGAAGGACTGTGGAAAAGGAAAAGTACAGTCTTCGGTTAATTTTACTAGTATCCATTTAATTTAATAATTACTGCTGAAAGCAATGTTGACAAATAGAGGGGGGGGGTTAAAAAAATAATCCGCCACAGGTGTCTACTACACTAAGTACACCACTGGGGATAAGTCCTCTACAGGCGATACTGGTGACTAGTCCTTTGCCCTCCTTTCCCTTCAAGTGACCGAACAAGAACTGTCAGTGTTGCTCACAAAGAAAAGTCACATTCCAACTGTAGGTATGTCATAGCTTGAGTCCAATTGGTGGCAGTCTAAAAAAAAAATAGATTTCTCATTCAAGGTTTTATTTCAAATTGATGCTCACGATGATGTGAATATTAACGTGATTGTAAACCGTTTATAATAAATAAAACACGTCATGCTTACCTGCTCTGTACAATGGTTTTGCATAGAGCAGCCCTGATCCTCATCTTCTGTGGTCTCCTGCTCCTGGCTTCACCTCTTTGTCGATTGCCCTCCATAGGAAGCACTTTCTATGGGGGCACTTGTGTGGGCTCGACCCTGAACCGCGCTTCCTGCGTCTATAGACACAGACAGCATAGCTCAGTCCCTCCCCACAGGATTTGAATTACAGCAGTAGGAGCCAGTGATTCTCTATCAATCGGCCCTGTGAGGATAGAGAGAGAGCAGAGAGAGTCACTGCTCTCGGGTACAGCTCTGAATTGAGATCAGGCAAGTATGAGGGGGGGTCTGGGGATTCTTGTGGCACAGAAGGTTTTTTACCTTAATGCAGAGAATGCATTAAGTTAAAAAAAAAAACTTAAACAAGAAAATAAAGAGGGTGCAAATGCCTGGCATGTTGCCTTAAAACAATTATTATAAGATTATTTTATAAGATATTATTATAAATAAAAGACACAGGTTTTACTCACAAACCAAGTAGGCAATAGGCATGTAGTTGCATAAACAATGTGGACCACTCTCCACCTCTAACTGAAAAAAGATGGTGTGAACTACTGATGCATTTCGGGGACCCTCTCCCCTTAAAGCGAAGACTCGGACTGGGTCCCCGAAACGTGTCAGCAGTTCATTGTGTGTTTATGCAAGCGCATGCCTATTACCTACTTGGTTTGTGAGTAAAACCTTTGTCTTTTATTTATAATAGTTTTAAACTAATATGCCAGGCGTTTGCGCCCTCTTTGTTTTCATGTTTCTGTGCAGTGTTGTATTTCCCCGGTCTGAGGAGGGCTGCACTGCCATTTCTTTCAAGTCCTGGCTGTGAAAAGTCCATGGGAATACATCTAGAGTGATGGTATCTATTTCTGAGCGGCAAGTGTCACGTTTGACGATCTTCCTATTTGCAAAAAAAAAAAAAAAACCATAAGCCTTTAGAACATGCAAGTACTTTGGGTTCTCAGTTTAATTTAGGTTAGTGAGTCAACATGGATTCATACCTAAGTAGTGGGAGTAGTGGATCAGCCTGTCTTACTGTCATTATTTAAACCTAATTATATATATTATACAATAACAAAACAAGTTATATTACTGGGATGCAGTTTACAGATATATGAAAGGGTGTAAAAAATTCTTTGGATTTCAAAGATATAAAACAGTTCATATAGCTTCCTTTTGCAGATTTTTTTAGGCACATTACAGTCTCTCTCCCCCATCTCCAGCAAAAATACAGCATTGTTATATCTTCATAACTGTAATGAGCCACTATACCAAGGACCACCACTTCTGTTCCCAGAGCCCTCCGAGGTGATCTTTTCTAGCAGTGGTCCACTTGCCACTTAAAAGTAGAAAAGCCCTCTAGATTTTCAATTCCTGACTTTTTTCTGATCTTGCAAATACGGATTGGGTATTATCTGCATTAATGTGATTTATCTGTTCAGCTGCACAGTTTAAAATGAGAAACTAGTTTGTGTGTTTAGAGGAGAAAAGGTTTTGTCAGTCTGTCGGTGTGTGAGGTTTTGTCAGTCTGCAGTGGGTTGAACAGAAAAAAAAAAAAGCTGCTGATTTCCCTATCCACACACTCCATGTGGATGGGGGAATCCTTCCCACTGATTGTATTCTGACAATGGAGAGACTTCCCTGCCAGCAGAATATAATGGTCAGTGTTGCAGGCTATAGCCAGCAGCACTGACCATTGGAGAAAAACCCGACAGACTTGTTGTACAAGTTGATTGCGTTGTGTACAACCAGCCATCCCATTATATGGATCTAAATTTGATCCATGTATGGGCCAGCTAGTGGGAGGGGAAAATAACCTGCGTACTTATTTTTAACCCCTTTAAAACTATACGTAGTTGACACTGAGTTGCCAAGACCAATA